TCTATTCTTGTTCATCTTGCTCAAAACTTGAGTAACTATTTTCAATCTGAGGCCTGATGTCTACTTTCAGCTGTGGGGAATTTTGTTGCCCTTTGACAGCTTCCCTCCATTTTTTTTCTGGGTCTGGAGTTTCTAATAGTAACATGTTGTATCTCCCAGATGCAGCCTCTCTAACATATTGCTATCACATTTTCCATTGTGACTTTCTTTTTTATATAATGAGAAATTTAAAAAATTCCTACTGAAGTTATTTCAGCAACAATATTTTCATTTTCAAGAGACTTCTCTTGCTTTCTGACCATTCTCTTTTTAATTAACACCCTAGTCTTATAGTTGCTAGCTCTTTTTAAATCTCCCTCAGAATACTAATTAGGGTTTTTTCTTAAATTATTTTGTTCCCTAAATTGTCCCCGATCCCACTAGGATATGTTTTCACACTTTTTCCCCTTCTCTCATGTTGTAAGCTTTACTCAACTATCAGGCAAATGACAGTTATTTTTTATTTAAGAATGAGTGCAGAAAGCTCCCTGAAGTCAACGATTGATTGGTTTCTTATGCAGGAAGAAGCGGGGAGTAACTGTAATAGGATCCCCCCCAAACACAATTTTCTAGGTTATAAAAACTCACACTAGCTGCCCTAGTTCTCGCCAGTTTCACTGTTTTCAAAATGAAAGAATCTCATTTCAGGAGCGTGAGGGCGGGGCTGGGAGTCCACTCCTCCAAACACAACCCTTCAATGATTTCCCCTATTTCAGTCATACTTTTAACTAACTCCACCCTCTCTCCTACATGCGCATCTGAGCATGGGGCTACTTCTGCAGGTGGGGTCAGAATCCTCCTCAGTTGCAGGTGGTCCCTGTGCATGCTCTAGGTGATGCTTTTCCTCTGTTCTACTGCTTCAGTTTCACACTCTTCCACTTGTCTTCCGTCTTTCAAAACTATGTTGAAATCTCTTGATTGTTGTGGGCTTATATACTTAAACACTTTGATACCATCCTTGTAGTGTCTTGTCAAAACGGAGAAGAGCTGAAAGGGTTCTCAGTGCATTCTGAATCTGCTATTCTGTGGTCCCAGTGTGTAAACTTCTTGGTCTTCTCCAGTGTCTATCATTACTACTAGAAATACAATCTCCTGGTCTACTCGTGAAGGAAATGAATACAGCACATCCAAAATGACAAGGAAGGCGGTTAGATGCTCTAGGGTCTTGTCGTACTCTGCCATTTATTAATAAACCACTTATGTGCTACAAATTGTAGGTGCTCATTTATAAAATGAAAGAGGGTAACTCTACATGAACTATAGATTTCTCCTGCTCTAACATTTCATAATTGTCTAAGTTTTTTTCTTAAAATTTCTCTATATTATCATTAATTTTACTTAAAAAAATAAAAATCTAACTTTTGAAAATCAAAGAGTTAATTGCCATAGTCCTACAATAATGGGATAATTAGTTCTGAAACCGGTCAAGTTTCATGTTTCATACGAAAAGAAAATCATATTAAATAATTTTTAAAAATTAAACATGCACTTTGTAGCACAAAGACAAGGTCCCCCACAAATGGTGTTCGTTTATTTACTAGAAATGTTCAGCTCTTCATTAAAGTTGAAATAAAATAAATATATTATTTTTTAGGTGCAAAAATTTCTTATGAAAATCAATTTTTCTTTTCTGTCCATACAAACAAAAGTATGGAATGACATTAGAGGTCAGGTTTACTTGGTAATAGAATGTAGCTTCTTGATATTTTTTATTTTAGGAAAGGAGAATATCAACATGAAAACTTTTTTCAATTTTACTTTTATTTAAAATGAGGCCATATTTTCCCCTTGTAAAAAGAGAGTTCAACTAGAACTGTCAATTTTCTCATCTGTAAAACAAGAGCACTGAATCAGCTGACTACATTCATTCAGAACTCAATTTCTTTATCGTATGATCACTAAGGTTCTCCCTAAATCTAATATACTAAGGTTCTAAGGAAAGGAAAATATAGTACTAACGACATGTTTTGATTTTTATTTCCTAGAGTTCAAATGTCCACCATTCACCCTGGTCTAAGCTTAAGGAACCATTCAAGGGGATACAATGCAGATGGGAAGAGAAAACAGAACCCTCACACAAGCTTTGCCGTATTGCAATCAGGCTTCCGTTTGAAAAATAATCTTCTCTATAGCTTTCAAGTGATAACTTTGTACCGGCAATGCTTCTTGTTTCAAACTGATTTTCTCTGGCTCTTCCTGAACACTTTCTGAGGAATCATTGACCTCTTCATTTTCTGAGGAGGAAGGACTCTCTACTGTCACAGTCACAGGAAATTCTGATGGACCTGAGTGTCTGAAGAAGATAGGAAACCACAGAGTTGTTAAACTAAAGTGCAAAGAAAGAAAACAAGATTGTATAAAAGACAACACGAGCCAGATACCAAATATCCAAATATTAGAGGACATTTAACAAAAGTGATCTGATATCATTACTTATAAACGTCTCTCACTGCTCCTTAGTCTAAAACAGGCAATGACTAAGTAAAAGTACAGTAACTTATTTTTGCTATGTTACTGTACATGCCTCTGTTGTACATGGTTAGGATTAGTAATGGGAATTGCCCATATTATTTTATTTTCTTTCACAAAAGCCAAGTGAAGATCCAAGGTAACCATTTTTTCTCAGATCAACTTTAGACTGCAAATGAAACATTTATTTTTCACTATCAGACAAAAACAGTCTGGAAGAAAATGTAGTTTTTTGGAGGAAAATACACCAGTAAAGGGACTGATAAAGAATCAGAAGAATAATCAGAAAGTCAACATATCTAAGCTGTGTATAATAGATGTTAGAATTTTAAAAAGTAAATCACATACACATACATAACTAAAACTGACCCATCAAAAATTTCATCTTCTCATCACCCTGAAGCCAAAACTAGGGTAACAGTAATACAATTCTATCAAGCTTCACTGCCACTGCAATGTTGTTCAATTGGACATTTCCTAACATTTAAAACCTGACCTGGCCACAACCCCATAAAAGTCTACAGATCATAAAGAAGTGTGCTGGGATTATGTAACTACACAGAAGACAAGTCACTAGGACATCATTTTGACAACAAGCTGCAAACCCGCAGCACAGGAAAATCCCAACAGGAGAACGAGGCACACACCCCTCTCTCTGGGCATGCAAGGGCAGGAATGACACCCAAGATGCTCTTCTCTCAACCTCAGCAGTGGTGCCTTTCACAGAGCAGCTATGCAGTCTCCCAGAACCACTGGCAAGGAGAATCTGATACTGACAGTAGTAGCTTGCCATGAGGCCATAAGCGAGGGAATGTGTGTGGCCTTGGTGAGAGAGCAGAGGTTTGGGAGATGTTGCTTTATGTTGGCTTTCAGATCAGGAATTTGTACATATAGCCTGCAAACAACGTTTCTTGAAAACATATGAACATTCTTGATTATGACAGCTCCATGTGAGGGGTCAGAAATGGCAGTCAAGTTCATTTCACTGGGTAACAGCTGATTTGCGGACTGGAGAACAGGCTTCCTTGTTTACAGACAACCACAAGGCTGCCAGTTGTGTGCCAAATCCACACAACTACACAGTTGCATTGGGAGAGCGACCAAACATGTTTTACATGGATTTATTTCAGAGAGGGAAATGCTTCTTGTAAGGCTATGTCAGTTTAAAAAGCAAGAAGAATGACCATTCACCTTTCCCAATTCAAGTCCTATATGTCATAAATATGATAGCTACACACCAGCAACGGATTACATACATCACGAGCTTTGATGAATGCAAAGCCCCTAAAAAGATATCAACAAAACCAAGTTAGATCTTGATGTAAATAAATCACCAGTTAAACCCAGTTAATACAACTATTTAGTATTATGTACAGTATCCATATAGAATTGTGTACAAAAATAAATAAGCTCAAAAGAAGGACGGGGAAGGCTCTGCTACGGAGAAAAGTGAACAGAATTCAACTGACTGGCTTCGTAATGACTCTCTGAACTGCTGAGAGGCCCCTTCAGCTCCTATGTTCAGGATGGTTGAGATTTCAGTCTCACTTCTGTAAATGGTGATATTAATCGTTCTTTAATTTACCACTCTGTGTGACGAGGATGGACCTGAGATTAAGTGTCTCAGGAAGAAGATAGAAAACCACAGAGTTGTTAAACTCAAGTGCAAAGACTGGGGATTCAACACTATACTTTATGCAACAGCAATTCACATTACCATTTGGTCATATTCTTTCAACAAAACAAAAGCTGCACTCACATGTATTAAAAGACAAAAATTAACTGCCATCTGTATCAATATGTTAATGTGCTTCAATCACACATGTTTGCATGAAAGTTTAAACATAAAATCACCTTTAAGATCTTGACCATGTGATCTGCTCCCTGCCATGTCAGATTATACCCCGTGAAGTTTACTGTCTTAAGAGTGACAGAGTTCTTTATACCTTGACAAATAACTAAAAGGAAAAATAAAAAACCCACACACAGTAAGATGAAGAGCCTATACATTTGTCAATCTTGACTTATTTGCTTCTCTTGAGTCAATTGGAGGTTTACAGCCACATTTTTAAAATCATTAACAACAATCTTCGCAAATTGATGAACTGATACATTCTAAAACTTGTCAGTAACAAAGTGTTATTCCAGTTAACAGCAG